AACTCTTTTGATGCATCCCATATGATTTGGAATGTTGTATTTTCATTTGCCTCCAGATATTTTTAATTTTTCCTTTGATTTTTTTCATTGATACAGTGGTTGTTCAGTAGCATGTTATTTAGTCCCCATGTATTTCTGACTCCCAGTTTTTTCTTGTAGTTGATTTCTAGTTTCATAGCATTGTGGTCGGAAAAGGTGGTTGAGATGATTTCAATCTTCTTAAATTTATTGAGGCTTGCCTTCTTTCCCAACATATTGTCTATCCTTGAGATTGATCTATGTGCACTTGAGAAGAATGTGTATTCTGCTGTATTTTGGATGGAATGTTCTCTATGTATCTCTTAAGTCCATCTCATCAAAAGTTTCATTTAAATCCAGTATTTCCTTGTTGACTTTCTGCCTGGATGATCTGTCCATTGATGTAAGTGGGGTGTTGAGGTCCCCTAATATTATTGTGTTGCTGTTAAATTCTCCATTTAGGTCTGTTAATAGTTGCTTTATGTACTTTGGTATTCCTGTGTTAGCTACATGTATATTCATAAGTGTTAAGTCCTCTTGGTGGAATGTCCCTTTTATCATTATGTACTGCCCCTCTTTGTCTCTCATTGTCTTTTTTAACTTGAAGTCTGCTTTGTCTGATATAAGTATGGTAACACCTGATTTCTTTTCTTTGCTATTAGCTTGGAGTATCATCTTCCATCCTTTCACTCTGAGCCTATGTTTGTCTTTAGAACTGAGATGTGTTTCCTGGAGGAAGCATAATGTTGGGTCTTGTTTATTAATCCATCCAGCTACTCTGTGTCTTTTGATTGGAGAATTCAATCCATTTACATTTAGAGTGATCATTGATATACGAGGGCTTAATACTGCCGTTTTATCTCTTGTTTTCCAGTTGTTCTGTGTTTCCATTGTTTCTCTTCCTTTGTATTTCTGACTGCCGTTTCACTTGATGGCTTTCTCGGAGGTTTTCTCAGGTTTTTTTTTTTTTTTATGATTTGTGGCTCTGCTCTGATTTTTTGTTTAGTTGTTACCATGAAGTTTGTATAAATGACCTCATAGATGAAATAGTCAGTTTTCTGATAGCCTCTTATCTCCATAGCCTAAGCAGCTTCCATCCCTTTCCTTTTCCCCTTCTGAGTTATTGTTGTCACAAATTATTCTGTTTTGTGTTGTGAGTTTGTGACTAAGTTGAAGTGTTTATAGTTACTTTTGATGCTTTCCTTCCCTTTATCTTTTAAGTTATAATTGAGTATTTGCTTTCCTGTTCTGATAGAGAGCTGCAGTTTTCTGATTTTGTCTGTGTATTTATCTCCTTGCTTAAAGCTTTGTAGACTTTTGCCTTTTTGTTTCCATTGTGAGGGCATCTTTAATCATTTCTTGTAGGGGATGTATAGTGGTGATGAACTCCCTCAGCTTTTGTTTATCTAGGAAAGCTTTTATTTCTCCATCATATCTGAAGGAAAGTTTCTCTGGATAGAGTATTCTTGGCTGAGAGATTTTGTCTTTCAGTACTTTGAACATACCATTCCATTATCTCCTAGCCTGTTAAGGTTTCTGCTGAGAAATCTGCTGAAAGCCTGATAGAGGTTTCTTTGTAGGTTATTTTCTTCTGCCTTGCTGCGCTTAATATTTTTCTTTCTTGTTGACTTTTGCCAGTTTTACTATTATATGCCTTGGAGAAGGACTTTTAGCATTGATGTAATTAGGCGTTCTATTAGCTTCATGTATTTGTAAATCCAGTTCCTTCCCCAGGTTTGGGAAGTTCTCAGCTATTATATCTTTGAACAAGCTCTCTGCTCCTTTCTCCCTCTGCAATACCTATAATCCTCATGTTACTAGTCAGATATTTCTCAAAGAATTCCTTCATTTTTTAAAAATCTTAGTTCTCTCTCCTCCTCCACCTGTAGCATTTCTATATTTCTATGCTTTAACTCTCTAATTCTTTCCTCCATAACATCAGCTGTATTTTTTAAGGATTCTAAATTATTTTTTATTTCGTTAATTGTGTTCTTCATATCCAGAATTTCTGCTTGGTTTTTTTTTTTTTTTTTAATACTTTCAATCTCTTTGGTGAAGTATTCCTTCTTCTCATTAATTTTATTCCTGAGCTCATTGAACTGTCTTTCTGAGTTTTTTTGTAACTCATTGAGTTTCTTTATGACAGCTATTTTGAATTCTCCTTCATTTAGATTGTAAATTTCTGTGCCTTCAGAGTTGGTTTCTGGAGAATTGTCATTTTCCTTCTGGTCTGAATTGTTGCTGTTGTTTCTCATGGTGTTTGATGAACTAATCTTTTGTTGGTGCATTTGTGGTAGCATTAGGTCACAGATTCCACCTGCTACCACTAGGGGGAAGTGGGAGATGAGTTTCTGATCCACCCCATCTGCTGGAAGTTGTGGGGGTACTATGGGTGCTTGTGCCAGCCTAGAGAGCTTTTGGGTGTGTGTGTAGATTGTGCTTGGTGGGCAGGTCTTCTTCACGTGGTCCAAGCCTGGGCCACTCCTTCAGGCTACAGGGGTACAATGGGCTCCTCCACTGCTGAGAAAGTGATCACGAGATGGCTAAGGCCTGCCGCCTCCTCTTCCTACAGTCACCCTGGGGCGTGTTCCTACTTCCACCGTGCAGTAGTACTATGGGTGCTTGTGCCTGGCTGGAAAGCAGTTGTGCACATGCACAGGGCTGCCAGGGAAGGGCAGGAAGTGCTCACCTATTTCCACCACTTCCCAGAGGGCCAGTCAATCCACCTCATATGTATAGCTGCATGGGTCTCTCAGGCATCCTCTTGTGCTGTGTGGGTTTCCTCTGTTGGTCAATGAATGTCCATTAAGTTGTAGTTCAAAGGGGGAGAGATAAAGGGAACAGCTCACCCTGCCATGTTGCTGATGTCACTCTCCCCCAAACCTTGTTGTTTTCTATTTTCTTTGTTTTTATAGTAGCCATCCTAATGGGTGTAGGGTGATATCATTGTGATTTTCATTTGCATTTCTCTTACGATGGGTGATGTTGAACATCGGTTTATATCCTTGTTGGCCATTCATATATCATCTTTGGAGAAATGTCTTTTCAAGTCCTTTGCCCATTTTTTAAACAGGTTGTTTTTTGTTGTTGTTGAGTTGTGGGAGTTCTTTGTATATTCCAGATATTAAGCCCTTATCAGATATATGATTTGCAAGTCTTTTCTCCTATTCTGTAGATTGCTTTTTCACTCTGTTTTGTGTCCTTTGATACACAGAAGTTTTTAAGTTTGTTGTAGACCCATTTGTCTATTTTTACTTTTGTTGTTTGTGCTTCTAGTGTCACATCCAAGAAATCATTGTGAAGTTCAATGTCATGAAGCTTTTCCTGTATGTTTTCTTCTAGGAGTTTTATAGTCTTATATCTCATATTTAGGTCGTTTAATTCATTTTGACTAACTTTTGTACATGTGAGATAAAGGTCCAACTTCATTCTTTTGCATTGGATATTCAGTTTTCCCAGAACCATTTGCTGAAGAGACTGTCCTTTTCCTACTGAGTGGTATTGGCACCCTTGTCAAAGATCATTTGGCCATATCAGTAATATATTACTGATAGCAATAACTGAATAAATAAATAGAGATAAGGGAAAATTCTTCCTTATGGTATAATTGGTATAGAAGGAACAATGCAATTCAATAATTATCAATGGGTGGTAAAACTAATGGGAGAAAGTTTTATTAGGACCCTGATACTTACATAATCTCACAAGTATCTCCTTACAAATCACTTATTAATCAAAAATAGAAACATAGTAACTTACAGTGGAAAAACTTATAAGATAGCACCTTAACCAAGTGATCCATAAGTAACAACACAATATTAGCACAAACTGACAACATGTGTCTCCCGAGAAGGACAACATCACTTCTGTGATGTATTTCAGAGTAAAAGTACACACACACATACAATGGCATGAAGGTGGTATAACAGAAGCTGGGGCAATGGATACCCCAAACAGAGCACTTATTTTCCTGCACATTTAAGCCATGGAATAGAGAAATTAGATTCATATTCTGGAAATTGAGATTTTAGAAATTGAGAGATATTTTATATTATCTTGAGAGGTAGCATAGCATACTATGCAAGGGCAGGGCCTCTAAAACCAGGTTGCTTGGGTTTAAATCCTAGCTCCATCACTTAGTAGCTGTGTGACTTTGGGCAAGTTAAATATCTATGCCTCAGTTACTTCATCTGTAAAGTGGGAATAATAATAGTCCTAAGCTCACAGGGCTGTTGTGAAGATTTAATGAGTAAATCTATATAAAGTACTCAGAGTAGAGACTCACACATACTAAGCACCATAAAAGTGTTTGCTATTATTATTAATTTACTTATTTAGTAATTACAGAAACCATCAGTTTCTAATGTTATGCTATGTCTAAGTGTGTGATGCCTTCTTGGAATACAAAGAGCCTTTGATAAAAGTAAAAAAACAAAAGCAAACAAACAAAACAAAACCCAGTCCTGGTCAAGGGCAGTGTTATGCTCATAAGTGTTTACAACCAGCCTAGGGGAGAGTCAAGTCCTCATTTGTAAGTGCAGATACTTCAAGCTACCTTATGATGTCACTGAACTTGGAGATGGGAAGAGATGTGCACAGTCAGCTCTGGGAGCTGGTACTAGCTGGCTCCATCACATCGCTGGGAGGGTCTCATGTTCATTAGAATTTAAACATGTGCTTTTGAAATTGCATACTAAATTTTTAGATGGACATTTGAAGATATTAAATTTTCTTAATGTATGTATTGTGAGCCTCACTTTATAGCTTTTTATTAGTTGGGGGTGTGTGTATGGTTGTGTGTTTGTGCATGTGTGCTTTAGGCTAAGAAACCAAGCATTTGACTTGTAGGATTATCTTTGTAAATAAATCAAATGAACAAAATTACCCTAGATGGAAATATGAAAACTTGATATATCTGATAATTTTACTTTCTATGAGAAAATATTTTTAAATGATCATTTAAATTTTAAAAATGATCCTAGGTGTGCACTTCCAATTTGACATGCCATTGTACTGATGGCTACAGGCCTCCAAATTGCGCAAGACGTGCCAGAGAATCTTCTAGATTGCCTGGGAAACAGGGCAAGTATCTATCTTTATGTATCCAGTTAATAAAATTCTCAAATTTCTTCCCTTCCCAAAAATGAAACTAGATTTTTACCATTTAGAAACCAATATTTGTAATTAAAAGGTTAATAGGCTTCTTTCAAGAAATGGAAACCAAATATGCCTTCTTAATCTTGCTCTTTTTTCTAACATTAACTCTCAAATATCATGATTGAAGCTGAGAGTATCATTAAAATTTTTATTTATTGATATCACTGACTTTCACCTTTAGACTATCCTTCAACCTTTCCCCACTTTATGATTGATCCTGTGATCTCAGCTCTACACAAACAACATTTACTCTGTCTAGCACTGTTACTATGTCTGTTATAGAAGAAATAAAGAAAATCAAATCTGAAGGAATTTACAGTTTAAATGAGAAAAATCCATAAATTGCTGCTAAAGAGATGACAGAAGGGATGCTAGCACAATTTTCTATTTGTTCACCCATGACTTTAGTTTCCATCATTCATTCATTGATTTAGCAAATATTTATTGAACTCCTAATATATGCCAGGTGCTGGTCATATGGCATGGGGACGTACAGTAAGCAGAACGAAGTCCCTTTCTTCATGGAGCTTAAGGAATATGTTAAGGTTGTCATACCCAGTGCGAACTAGTGGCAGAATTAGGGTAAGGAACCAAGTCTCCTGATTTTTATGCCAGTATCATTTTAGTAGCACTGCAATAGCTTCATATATAAAAACAGATCCCTAATGTCAAAAAGCCAACAATCTAGGGGCCGGACCAGTAGCATAGCGGTTAAGTTCGTGTGCTCCACTTCAGTGGTTTGGGGTTCGCAGGTTTGGATCCCGGGCACACACGGACGCACTGCTTGTCAGGCTATGCTGTGGCGGAGTCCCATATAAAGTATAGGAAGATGTGCATGGATGTTAGCCCAGGGCCAGTCTTCCTCAGCAAAAAGAGGAGGACTGGCCTTGGATGTTAGCTCAGGGCTGATCTTCCTCACCAAAAAAAAAAAAAAAAGCCAACAATCTAATAAAGAAAATCAGGATATGCACAAATGCAGTTAAATTCTGTGATAATGCACATTGTAACTGCAAATTTGTTGGCTAACCTCGCAATTACACAATCCCACGTTATATATCATTGAAGTTTTGGGCCCCACTTATATTATAATAGTGAGATTTTGCTGTAGTTGCTGTATAATGTAGAATACCTTGGAACTTTCTGAAACTTGGTTTCTATTCTTTTTGAATGAGTTGTAGAGACAGTCCTAAGTATTATGATTCTATTATTATTTTTCCATGTTCCTTGAATAACAACAAAAATTAAGAAAATTGTAATTAGTTTGCTGCAACTTGAAAGTAAAAGTAGACAACTTAATTTTTTTACTCTGATTTTTAAATGTATTTTTATTTTTAGGTTTAATCATGGAAAGAGCTTTTAGGAAGGCTGAAAAAAAACGGTGGTTTCTAGGTCTCTACATTGCTTTACCTGTTCTCATCGTAGCAACCATAATAGCTGTTTCATGGAATAATTTGAAAAAGTTGTTCACCAAGGAAGAGGAGTCACTAAGTAGCGAGTAAACTGAATTTATGTTCTGAAGTTAAACTTTTAGTACTATTTGAATATAGTAATAGCTAAGGCCTTGGACCTCAACTCCTTCTAAGGAAGGGCTCCTAAATCTCTAGCCCCAAAGGTATATCACTGGTTTAGATGCCCCTGCAGTCATTCAGTTTTAGCTCCTGTTTGCCCTCCTATTTCTCAGTTTCTTCATTTTTCCTAGCACAGAAGTCTTTTCTTGCTGTTAACCTCAGTTATGTATTAAATGTTGTGTTACTTTTTTTCACCACTCCTCTATGTGAGGAATGGAGAGGAAATTGGAAAGGGGAATGGAAAGAGAATATTGTCCTGCCAGCCACTCTGCCAGTTTGTCTAGAAGTTAGTATGGGTTTTAATTTACAAAATATAGCATTTCTTTATCAATGAATAAAAAGTTAAAAGTTGAGGAATGAAGGTCACAATCAGGCATTCAGGCTCAAACCTATATTCTGTGTTCAGAAGTGATAAGGAAAAAGCAAATCTGTGCCTTCTTGATAACTCTGCTTACTGTGGAATTTGAAATTTGCATTCTTTGTAGATGAGGTATATGGGTAAATAAGAGTGTTATTTATTTGCATCTTTGATCAGTGACTTTGGATATTGTTTTCTTTGTTGGTAACTAGTCTTGTAAAAGAGATAATACTGCTTATAAAATGGCCTGACTTTTATTCATGCAGTTGGCAAGCTTCTTAGGACTAACTTGAGACACTATTTTCCATTTTTTTAATATCCAGATCAGAAGGCAGCACTCACACATATGCCAGCAGGTAAGTAAATTACAAGGTGTCTTAAGATATGTGTTGAAAATTAAGAATGAATTAATAATTCACAATGAATTTCTAGATATTTTTTGAACAGCTGCAATTGGTAAAGAAATGCACCTGAAAACCAGGCTACTAATGTATAGTAGTTTAGTTTCTACTCAATTAATCTTTTATTCATTTAATAAATGTTTATTGGAAGTCTGTTCTGAGGAAACAAGGAATAAAATAGCCGACTCTAATAAGAGATAGGAAATGTATAATTAGTTAAAGAAAAAGAACATGTAGTGCCTAGAAGGGACCCAACTTGGGTTGTATTCGTGCAGTGCTTCGGTAAACAAACAGGCAAATGCCTGACATTTGACCAAGTGTATGTGACAGAGCTCGTGTAAATTTATATAATAATTATGAGTTGGGGAGAACTAATTATATTGACCTAACTGTGCTGTTCTTTTTATCATTAATAAATAGCATTTTTGTCCCCATTAATGTTTCTTAACCATAAATTCAGTCCTCACTGTTTTATGACTGCTATATCAACATTCTATTTGTTAGATTTATACGATAAAATTTTCCATCCTCTTACTTTCAATCTTTTATTTTAGTTGATCTCTTAAAAACAGCCTGCCAATGGAATTTAAAATTATGTAATCTCAAGAGTTTCTCAATAGTTGAATTTAATGTTTAGGTACTTATTTTTGCTGACATATTTAGGCTAAATTCTACTATTTTATTATTTTTTCTATTTATCATATCAAAAGTATTTATCATACTTTTCCAGTATTTTCTTTTTCTACTTTCTTGTATTTCATTATATTGATTGCGCTTTCATTCCTGTTTTCTTTCCTTCTGTTAATTTGGTCATTATATGTTCCAATTATATTCTTTTAATGATATTCTTTAATAAATTATTATATTATTACTTATTTAATTATTAGATAAAATAGTCTTCTAGCAACATATGCCCATGTAACCCTGCACTCTTCTTTTCTCTCTTCTATATCACTATCATTTGGTGTTTAGTTACTCCTGAATTTAACCCGCTGCACATGTCCTCATTATTGTTATCATTCCTGTATTTAGTCAAAATACACTAGGATTTCACTACATATTTACTACTTTATTTGCTCACTGCTCTTTTTTAAATTTCACTCCATTCTTTTATGTTCAGTCTCCTTTTTGGTGAAGTACATCTGTTAGCATTTCCAACAGTGAACCTGTGTGTAGTAAGCTGTTTATCTTATCTGCCTGAAGTTGTCTTTATTTTCACTCTTGAATGTGAGTTTATGTAGTATGGACTTA